AGAGGGAGAGGGAGAGGGAGAGGGAGAGGGAGAGGGAGAGGGAGAGGGAGAGGGAGAGAAACATCAACGATGTGAGAGTCTCCTGCAGGCCCCTGACTGGGGATCGAGCCCACAACCTGGGCATGTGCCCTGACCAGGAATCGAACTGTGAGCTCCTGGATCCTAGGTCGATGCTCAACTGCTGAGCCATGCCCAGCAGGGCTCATTCTTATTATTAAATTATTAATATTGCCACCATAATACACACACACATGCACACACACACATATATACAAACACACAAAATTAAAGAACATACAGTAACTTCGGTTGGACATACGTATTAATCTCCTTCCCTTCTAAAAACCCACTAGAATGACAAGGTTGAAAATGGAAAAGAAGATAAAATGTTAGAGGCTGGAAAGCAGAAGATAACTGACAGCAGAACCAAGAAACAGAATCTGAAAAGCATTAGAGAAAGACAAACGCAACAAAATCGACACTACAGAACTCCCAAAGTGCTCAGAAACTTAGGACACTAAGTGCATCCAGAGGTGGAAATGAGGGTGGGACTAAAAACAAAAGTATTAGGAATTCTGGGAAAATGGCAGGGGAGCAGGCATGGGTGTTTGTATTTTTTAATCTCCCTAAAACCTCCATTAAAAGCAGACAAAGTAACTAAAATAGAAAAGCCAAAACTGCACAGACCACATTAATGAGATGATGTTACATGATGAAGCATCCTCACAAACCCCAAGATGCAAGTGAGTGAGGCAAACTGAGAGCTGAAAGACTTGCATGGCAACAGCACCTGTGTGGGAAGAAACAGAGGGCAGCATGGGGGGGCAGGGGGGGGTCTGACAAATCTAAAAGAGAAGAATCCCAAAGAGCCAAGTGACATTCACCGGGAAGTGCAGTGGAGCAACAGGAGAAGGGCAGCAGACACTGAGTGCAAGGCCACTGTGGTCTGGAAGGGCTACAGCAGTCTGGGCTCAGTGAAGACTCAAAATTAACCAGGACAATCCTACAATGAGGAGAAACTGCTGGGAACAGAATCCAAACTGAGTAGAAGAAGGATGGTGGCAGCAAAGGAAAGAGAAGGTCTAAATACGCTGAGGCAAGGGGACAAAGCAAAGAGATCTCAGAAGAATAAGCCCTATTTGGAAACAGCAGAACAGGAGCTGCAGAGCTGTGAAGCTAGAGGTGCTGGCCTCCCCCGCTCCTTCAAACAGTTCAGGAAAATAAGTTCGCGTGAAAAAGAAAAAAGTTGTCATTGAGTCCCTAACAAAGTTACTCTGGAAGAAAAGAGAATAAAGTGCAGAATAATGCTCCTACAGACGAGGAACGCGAACCAGAAAGAAGACTCCCTGGGTTAAAGGGCACCGGCCCAACTAAGGCAGACGACAGAGGAGAACAGGGGACCCAGCTAAGATTTACATACTGAACATCGAGACCCTGCACCCTCCCCCAGTTCCAGTTCTCTTCCCCTACTTAGCTCTAAGAAACTTCAGCCACGCCTGACAAGACCAAGACAAAAGACCTCCGGATTCTGACAACAAAGGTCCCCCCATCCAAATCACGTTTCAGAGAAGGTCTCAGTCAACACATAAAACTTTCAATCACCTTTAGTGCCCATCTCTGGTGGCAAATGATCACTACACAGATGAAGGAGGCCTTTAAAATAAAAGGCCAAGACCACCAAACAGAAGAAAATAACTGGGAGGGGGTATCAACTATGCAGAAAAATTAAATTTTGAGAAAAAAGAAAACTTAGATATAATTATATATTATATCCAAATATCCATTTAATATATACACCCACCCTCAGAGAGCAGAAGATATCTCATCTATGAAATAAACACAGTGCTCTTAAAAAGGAGTAAATAATAAGAATGGACTCTCTGGCATTAAAAATAAAATGGTAGAAATAAAAAAAAACAATGAAGGGGTTGAAAGATAAAGCTGAGAAGAACTCCCAGAAAATAGAGCACTGTAGAAAAAGAAAACTAAAATCTTCCAGAGAGAAAGATTAGGAATCAGAATGGCTTCAGACTTCCAACATGAGCTTTGGAACTTGGAAGAAAATGGAACAAGGTCTTCCAAGTTTTAGGGTAAAATAATTTCCAGCTACATCCACTCAGAGGTAGAATTTTCCTAAGCTGCATTAAGTCAAGAAACACATGCATAGTACACTCAGTCTACTTAGTCATAATACTGACACTAATGACCCAAATAAAATTTTATTATAATTATACAGAGATAATGAGGACTGATAAAAGGGTATATGCCCATCTCACAGGTAGGATAGGCGAGAGGAGAAAAAAGCCAAATTTTCATATAGGGAGGTCAACAGATAAAGCCTCAAAAGAAAAAATCAAGAATTAGCATTATAGCCTGGCCGGGCGTGGCTCAGTGGTTGAGCATCGACCTAGGATCCAGGCAATCGGGGTTCGATTCCCGTCAGGGCACATGCCCAGGTTGCAGGCTGCAGCTGATCAATGACTCTCACATCATTGATGTTTCTATCTCTCCCTCACCCTCTCCTTTCCTCTCTCTGAAATCAATAAAGATATATTTAAAAAAAAAAAAAAAAAGAATTAGCATTATAAGCATGCAATATGGGACATGAAGGTAAATATGGTAAATATCAAAAGATACACCTAAAAGCTAAACATGGTTCTTCTGGAGAATGAGAAACAGAAGTCTATTTTTCATAAAAAGCCTTATAATACTGTATTATTTGAGTCTTAAAGGTATGTACATTGAAACTTCAATAAAAATAAATTTAAAAAGAACATATGTTAGGCTTAAGGCCTCTATATCCACAATCCTTCATTAGCATAAACTATTCTTTTTCACAAGATTTTATCCCTGTAATAAACAGCTTATCCTTAAGAGGAAAGAATGGAATTATTTCTGAGATTTTACTGCTATTAAAAAAAACAGACATTATATAAACGTGGCAAAAATATATATCTATTGATACAAATCCAAATACCAAGGGAGATGGGAGAATTTAAATGAATAATTGATTTTCAAAATAAACAACCTTCCTTGCCTGCCTCACCCATAGAAAAATATGAAACACAAATGGGTTTCCTCTAAACCCATGTGCAGAGTCTGAATGTATGCCTACAGTAATAGGATGTTAAAGAAATGTTTAAGATGCACACCAGATGTGGGCCATAATCGAAGTGTCCCTTTGCTAGAGTCAGCATTACGTGTGTTAGGAGTTCATCCCCCCTCTCACCTGAATTGTAGAATCATCAGAGCTTGAAATGAGTGTCTTCCCATCAGCTGTGAACTGGATGTGCCATACAGTGTTCTTGTGCCCATTCCTGGATTGGAAGATTCTGTTGTTTAGGAGTTCTAAAATCTTCAAAGAAGAAAACCACAGAAAATTAATACAAAGGAACTCAGCAAGACCCAAGCATTACACCCCAAAGATATTAAATCGACTACAGAAGGGTACAGAATTTTCATCTCATATGCTTTCAGTTTAAATAAAGACACACAAATGAATGGTACACATCCATATGTGCACATCTATGTGCACAAACACACCCTAAAATAAAACACTCACTGGAGGACCACATGGCAGTGGGAACCAGTGGTCCTTCTGAGTATTCAACCACCCAATTCATCAAACGAGTGGCAGTCTGGGCTCAGCCTCCAAGAAGAAAATTATATTTAAGATGGATGCAAGAAACAAAAAAGAATCCTGGATGAGAGGCAAGGCAAGGTCTTTATAAAACAACACAGAGACAAGGTGGGATAGAGGATAATGCGGGAGACCGGTAAAGGAAAAGAGGACGTGAGTAGGCAGGAAGGCAGTGTGCTGAGAAGACTTAAAAGGGCTGAAGATTAAAATGCCAAATGCAGAGACTAAGAAAGTAGTAACACATGAAATCAGAGGGCCTAACAGTTGAGCACGGAGGCTCAGAGACAGGTTTGAATCCTAGCTCTGCCTCTTAATGAATTTTATAAAGTTGTGGAAACCAGGAGTTTAGACATCTATAAAACAGGAATAATACCTAACGTCCAGTGAGAGCCTGTGACACAGTAAACACCTGATAGCTGTTATTATTTGATAATAATAGGCTGAATCACATAAAATTGCCATTTTATAGGTTAAAAACAGTAAAATATTAGTAATTTTACATGATTCATTTATGTTATTTATATTATTTGATGACTTTGAGGGGGTTAAGGATAAGATTATTTCCCATCCCCAGGCAAAGATGGAAGTGCCCCATGTGGCATCGCCAACCCAGTCCCCACGGCCAAGCACTGTCCTCCCCGCCCCCACATGACAGGGGGTATGGATGAGGCACATGCGGGTTGTGTGAGTTATTTTCTTAAACTACCTGTAAGGCTTATTTCAAGATACTTAGTAAAAACAAGAAGGATGTAGTGCTGGCTTGGCAACAGGTTAAAAAAGAAAAGGGGAGCCAGGGATCCTTTAGGAATAAATAATAATACCTGTATACAACAGTTTGAGAGATGAGTCTGAGGTTCACCCATAAATGTACAAGCGTTCCCTGCTTAACAAACATCCACAATACACTTTTTTCATGTAGCACCCATCTTCACAATTCATAAATCACTGTTCATAACAATGGAAAAAACCCAAAGCCGTAGCTCTGAATCTGTGCCACAACAGCCACAGCAAACGTTCAGTAACAAGGACATCACTTTCCAAAAGCTTTCCTCCTCCCTGTGTGTATAAACCTACAGTCTCCGCTTTGGGGGTCAATATGGACTGGAGAACATTTGTGCAATTCCTTATGAAAATGAATACAAAGTAAAATAAGTGTAGCTATTAATATTTTAAGAAATAATTAATAAATACATGAAGAACTAATTCCAAAAAGCCTGGGTGAGAAGCAGTTGAAGGAGCCAATGTTCTTTGAAAAACTATTATATAACTAGAGAAAATACGCTTTTGTGAGGAATTCATTTGTGAGCAAATCATTTTTATCCAAAATGATTTTTGTTATACTATCTTTTGGTCATATAACCTGATTTTATTATTATTTATTTGGTCTTGTGTGAGAACAGCCAGGGCTGGTGAAACAGGTAAGCACAGGCAACCTGCACTGATATTCCCAAAGAACCTTATCAGTACCAAAAAGGAAACAACCCCTAAAGGGCTGAGCTTCTAGGGAGAGGCAAAAAATGCTCTTTGCATGGTTAGCTGAAGCTCCGATAGTATTTGATATACTTGGAAAACCGCAAAACAATTAAGTAGAGAGTAAGGACCACAAAAGACAGAAAGTATGAGAAACAGGAGTAAAGGCAATCTGAATATATACAACCAACAGGATTGTAAGAGTATCTTTAGCCTAGCAGGAGAATGGCTCACAGATAATAGATTTATTTAATACATGTCCACAATGCCAGACACTTGATTACTTTTAAATAAATAGCTATACTGCACAGAATGACTGAAGATGAGAACCAAATACCTGAATGGTTCCGTCGTGGCCTCCAAATGCAACGTGCTGCAGATGCGGACTTAAGCAGCAGCAACTAACCTGAGCTTCAGTCAGATAATCAATCTGACCTGTTTTTCCATTAATGAGCTAATGAAAAATAAGGCACAGTTATTAGGCTAAAAGAGCAGTTTTTGCTCTTTAGAACAGAGACTTCAGTTGAAAAAAAACTAATAAAACAGAGAAAATAACCAACAAGAGTGCCCAGGGGAACAACTAAGCCCTTTCCTAGTCTCAGCAGCTGCATTTAGCACTTCACACTTTCATTTCACTTTTTTGGTTTCAAATACATTTTCATAAAATAAAACGAGCTTTAAAAGGTTTAAAAAGCAGCTGCTGTGCCCACCACCTCAGACACAGCTGTCTGATTTCCAATCCCACAGCTAACTCCACACCCTGTTTTCCATTTCTTCACCAAGCCCATTTTAACAGGGCTATCGTTCATAAAAATACACTTTTCTGATGTTATTCAAGGGGGATGGGGAAATAAGACTGAGACAGATATTACATAAAAATGGGTTTTATTACAATTAAAATGGGTTTTTATACCCTCCACTCACCAAACAGTATAAATTAAGGTTATTTCCCCTTTTCTTTTTGGAGGTGGGGGTGCTGGAGAAGAACCCATGAGCTTAATTTGGGTGCCAGGACTTGTAAACTGAAACTAAGATTACCCAATTTCATAGTATGCAATTTCAATGCTAATAATTGTTTTTTAAAATCCCACTAATAAAGACAGCTTATCGCTTAACTAAAACATGTGACCTAGGAAAATATTTCTCAAGCTTAAATCAATTGTCAGATTCCTCTCTCTAACTACGTGTTACAACCTAAATGTCTTCAATTACTTTTCAATATGAAATAAGCAGTAACCTTTGTTTCAGGTACAAGATTATAGAGTCAATCAATCAAGGTAGCTTTTTCTTTACAATATTTTACCCAGCATGTCCTGATCTATTACATGTTCAAAATAAAGACTGAACTTACTAAAAGCTGAATATCTTCTCTCAAAAATAGATTTTCATATTTTAAAGAAGTAACCAAATAATATTTTGTTCATGTAAATGGACTATTACAGTCTCTCATAATCACTGACACAGAATAAAGTCAATTCATTTATAATCAGATGACTTCTTTTTTAAGTCTCACAGTTACGACAACTGTTAGAGAAAGGTTGCGCAAACTTAATGAAGGAAATGCAAGCATGAGGGCTCTGAACTCGACAAGAAAATGGCCGTGGAAAATATCCCAAGTGGAAGAATTAGTCTGCTAAATTAATGAATTCACACTCAATCCCACATCCCAATTCATTCCTGAGATACAGGGCATTAGGAGCTCCTCATCAACATACTAAGGATCACCATAAAACTTGTAAAATACAGAACAAGCCATATTTAGCGATGTCTCACAGCTTGATTCTGATCCCCACAGTAGACAAGGAAAAGCTGCCACATGCCATAGACAATTTACTCCCACCTATTTGTCTCCTGAATTTAATTCCACCTTGACTGTATAACCAGCTCACACTTCTGAAGAAAGTGAGGCTTAGAGCCCCAGTCATTTTGCTCAGTGGTTAGAGCACTGGTCTGTGGCCTAGAGGGTCCCGGGTTCGATTCCAGCCAAGGGCTCATGCGTTGGTTATAGACTTGATTCCTGGCTCTGGTCAGAGCTTGTGCAGGAGGCAATCAGTCAATGTGTCTCTCTCACATGGATGTTTCTCTCTCTCTTCCCCTCCCTCCCACTCTCTCCGAAAAGCAATGGAGGGAAAAATATGCAGCTTGTACCTGGATCTCCTGAGCGAAGTCACTGTTTCCTCCACTACATCAAGCTGAACTCTGCCGCTTTAGAACTTGTTCAGCTCTGTCCTGCTCTCTGCCAGTCTGTCTCAAGCCCTCGCAATCGCTCATGCCCTCAATACGCACGCCCTCTATTTCTTCTCTTCTCCACTGTTTCTCTCTCCGCTCTAGCTCTGCCTCACTATCTCACTGCATTCCCTCATGGTTCTTGCTCTTCATCTTAGGCCGCAATGGTCCTTAAGGCATCTGCTCTCAATTACCACCACTCAAAACTCCTATCAATTCTCTACCAATAACCCTGACTCTGGGGCTCCTTTCTTCCTCAACCAGTCAAGAAATGCCTTCCTCCCCAGCTGCTCTGGCTCAGCGGTTAGAGCATCAGTCTGCGGACTGAAAGGGTCCCGGGTTCCACTGCGGCCATGGGCACGTACCTCGGTTGCAGGTTTGATCCCCAGCCCCGGGTGGGGTGCATGCAGGAGGCAACCAATAGATGTGCCTCTCTCACTGAAAAGCAATGGAGAAAATATCCTCGGGTGGGGATTAAAAAGAGAAAGAAATGCCTTCCTCTTATGTGTCCCACTCTTTGTTGAGGGGCAGTGTCTAGAATACAACGGTTTGGATCCCTAAATGATAATAACCTTTTCAATTTTACCTCAAAAACCTTTTCCTTCTCAGAGAACATCAGAAGCATTCAAGAAATATCTCTTGAGCAAATGCGTGGGTAAATGAATAAGTGAGCAGGTATACTTCAGTATGTAAAGCCCAGCTCCTTCCACCTCAGTTCCAATGGGTCAGACTCCTTCCTCACTTGAGGTGATTTCTGTTCTTTCAAAGACCTAGTTATCATTCCCCTGCAATAACACTTCCACTGGTGTGCTTGCCCATCCCCCTTGCGTACTCCATCAGACATGTCATAATCACTACTGTGGACAAGGTCAAGTTTGTCCTCATGATATCCTAGATTCCAGGCAAAGCAAAGAATGTGATCACTGATACCAAGAGGAATGAGTGAGGCACAGCATCACCTTTTTTTGTTGTTTTGGTTTTGGTTTTCCTCACCCGAGGATATTTTTTCCATTCCTTTTCAGAGAGAGTATAAGGGGGGGAGAGAGAGAGAGTGAGAAACATCAATGTGAGAGAGACACATCGATTGGTTGCCTCCCGCACGTGCCCCGATCGGGGCTGGGGATAGAGCCTGCAACCGAGGTTTGTGCCCTTGGCTTGAATCGAACCCAGGACCTTTCAGTCTGTAGGCCAACACTCCAACCACTTAACAAAACTGCGTAGGGCATGGTATCACCTTTTTATTTCCAAATACTATCTGAGCCTCAGCTCAAGACCTATATACTTAGCCAATTGATACCTATCAAGCATCTGTTGGATACTAGACAGTTGTGCCTAATTCCAAGTCCAAAAGCAAATAAGAAAAATTGTGAATTGTGAGTTCAATCAAAACAATTTTTCCGCCCGGCCGGGCGTGGCTCAGCAGTTGAGCATCGACCTAGGATCCAGGAGATCCAGGTTCAATTCCTGGTCAGGGCACATGCCCAGGCTGCGAGCTCTATCTCCAATGACTCTCTCATCATTGATGTTTCTGTCTGCCTCTCTCTCCCTCTCCTTTCCACTCTCTGAAATCAATAAAGACATTTTTTTTAAAAACAAACAATTTTTCCAATTGTTTTCTTAAAAATACTCACTTGCAGACGTCGTATATTGTCAACTGCCAGAACCGTCACTTCATTTTCTTGAAACACAACATCTATTTCTTGCTTTAACACTATAGCAGAGTTCTCACATACTTTCTTTGTCTCCCAGAGCTGATTAAGAGATTTAGAAAAACAAAATAAGATTACTGTATCTTCCAAAATACTATAAAGCCCAAGCAAGATACAAAACAAGCTTCACACTCAAAATGCCTATGATGCTAAAAAAATTTCATTATTATCTTGTAATTCAACAGTAAACATTTATTAATTACATGCTATAGTAAGAAGCAGTTAGTATTAAAAGTAATGGGTGCCAGAGCCCAAATGCCTTAGTATGAATTCTAGTTCTACTTGCAACTTTGGGCAGATTACTTATCCCAGCGTGACTCAAAGATAAGGACCTTCTGCTATTTGATACCAAGATAAGGTAATGTAAAACCAGAATGTAAATCAACTCTATTACAATATAGACTGTTAACAGTATACTTAGTGATAAAGTTGATTTTTTTTAACAAGACTCCTTGATGAAAGAAGGAGTGCATTGGTTTACATTCTGGCTCAAGCTTACTGAGATGGGCACTTTTAAGTGGCACTGACTTAACCTTTCTGTGTGTGCTTCCTCAGCTGCAAAACGGACGGTTGTGAGAATTACCAAATACACGTACAGCACTTTGCACAATATCAGGCATACAGTAAATACTAAATAAATTTTATGTACAATTTGTAGAAAACACTGTATTAGATGCTACAGGGAAAAACCAGGGTCCCTGACATCAACAAGTTTGTAATTTAAAACATGTGACCAGGTCAGAGGAGCAAGAGTATTAGAGGTTAGGGGTAAATCAAACCTGTACTCAAGTCCAAGGGAGATCTGACAAGTACCATGAGAAAGTGACACAGAGTTACATGGCCTTAAGAGGAGAGACCATCCCCCAAATGGAACACTAGGAAAGGCTTCCCAGGAGTCTTGTGGCTTGTAGGGTCGTTAGAATTTCATCAAGAAGAGGTACCGAGAAGCAGGGTATGCCAAACGTAAGAGACCACGTAAGCTAAAGTGCAGAGGCAGGGAACTACAGGGTGTGTGGAAATGTGAGTTTAGTGAAGGTCACCTGTAGAAATAAACTAGAAGACAGGCTGCAGCAGAATGAGGCTGTGCTGGAGAGAAGTTTGAAAGGAGACTTAGCAGGACATATTTACTTTGGTAGGCAAGGGGAGCTGTTATCTGTTTTTGAGCAAAAATGGCATGACTATGTATGTACACGAGGAAAACATCTTGGAGGCAGCTAGTAGAAAACCAAGAAAGAAAAAATGTATGGCAGACGTAATATAAGAGAGGGAACAGGTAATGAGCACCTAAACTTGAAATGGGAAAGTAGAAATAAATGATAGAAAATGGAAAGGCAGAATCCATTAGAATTGGCAAGAAACTAGATGTGGGGATTCAAGGTGGAGGAAAGAGTCAATACTACAGTGAGGAATCAAATGTAATATATTTAAATTAACCAAAGTAAGAGTTTAATCATTGGACTTCTCCAGCATCAGGCCCATGGTGATACTCGATGAACACGTTCTAGATGAATGAGACTGTTACAGTCCATTTAACAGCACTTTTCAAGGATAAAGATGAATGCAGCAGTTTCCTATTTTACTTCCCCCAATACTGCCCAATCAATTTCTTAGTTTGTAGGAGGTTTAGCTGACCATCAGTAAATGTTTAAAATGAAAATCTCAGTCTTTCTCACCCTGATCGTCTGGTCATCAGAAGATGTCAAAAATGATGATCCATCAGGAGAAAACATCACACAATGAACCCAACTTAAATGTCCTCTGCAATCAGCCACTTTTAAACCTGAGTCCACGTTCCACAGCTACGGAATAAACACAGCACACAGGAAGCCACACTCATAAGCACTTTACAGATGTACGCTAAATGCCGCGCAGAGGAGTAGTCATCAATTCACTATTTTTACTTATGTATGTATTAATTTATTTAAATCCTCACCTGAGGACATGTTGTTTATTGATTCTAGAGAGAGGAAGAGAGGGAGGGAGGGAGAGAGGTGAACTTGAGAGAGAAACATTGACTAGCTGCCTCCCATACACGCCCCTACTGGGGATGGGACCCGCAACTTAGGTATGTGCCCTGACCGGGAATCAAACCCACAACCTTTTGGTGTACGGGATGATGCTCCAACCAACTGAGCCCCCCCAGCCAGGGAGTTTCATTATTTTTAATAGCAAAAAACTGGAAATAACCCAAATGACCAGCCATAGGACCAACTGAAGAAACTACATTTATCATATGCATAATGGAATACTATGAGGCTGTAAAAAGTAATGAGAAAAACACCCTGAAATGACTAGTCTCTGGGCAACATTGTTTACAAAGAAAAGCAGAGTATATATATTCCTGCAGAAGAATATATACATATTACACCATACAATATAAAAGATGAGAAACATGTAAATATATAAATGGATACAAATGTGGAGCTAGATCAATAATACCTATAAATACCTGCTTATATATGCAAAAATGGAATGTTAAACAAAAACCAAAATGGTTACCTATGGGCAGGGGTGGGAAAGGGTGGAGGGGAAGGAACAGTGATGAAAGCAAGACTTCTCTAAATATAACTTATCATAAAGCTTTGATTTAGAATCATATAAATGCTTTATATGTATTTTTTAAATCAATAAAAAAAAATAGATGAAGCTTCTATATTCAGACTATTTTCTACTGTAATCTAATCCTCATTTCAACTGATTGCAAAGTCCTGTAACAAATGAATGCACTAATTGTACATGTACACATTTCTTCTGTTATCCATGCTTGTTACAAACTGTCAGTGTCTGCCACCAGACTGGCTGTACTTTGTCCTGAGTATGCTGTAAATTACTCAGCTATATTCCAGTCTAATGAAGTACCATATGTGCCTGAGTTCCTCTCATTACACTCTCAATTACAGACCTACTTTATGATTTCAGAAAAGCACGGACAAACAAGTGCTTCATCACATGCCCAGTGGTTTCCAACCAGTGAGTTCTATGGTTACAAATTAAGCACATGAAATTTTCTCTGCCTTATCTCTAGAGTCCAAGGTGGGTCACACAGAGCTAAAGCACAGGGATGAAAGTGGTTCAGCTACTGAAAAATCTCCCTTGAAATCCTTCCCTCTCTTCCTTTCTGGTTCTCCCCTCATCATTTCTTTGTCACCCAGAGCCTCCCAAACCAAGTCCCTGTATTTCAGGAAGAAAGACAGTGTTTCTAGGAGCTTCCTAAGAATGGGAAAGGCAAAAAGAGGGGTGCACCTCCACACCACCTAAAAATCCTGATAAAACCCAGAGAGGGCCCTAGTCAGGTGGCTAAGTCGGTTGGAGCGTTGACTCATACACCAAAAAGGTTTTGGGTTCGATTCCCGGTCAGGGCACATACCTGGGTTGCAGGTTAGATCCCCTGGTCAGGGAGCATACGGCAGGCAACCGATCGATGTTTCTCTCTCTGTCTCTAAAATCAGTAATAATAATAATAATAAAAATGTATCCTCAGGTGAGGATTTAAAAAGAAAAAACCCAGAAAGGGGAAATTTCCAACCACACCTACCTTGAGGATCTACAGGTAAGGTGCAAGATGTCCTAGCAGATCTGAATCTTTCAATCCAAGGCCTCTGCCAAAGAGAGCACTGCCCACAGCACCCTGCCTCTTCCCACTGTTTCAAACAGGGTTGGTTTGTTCACACTCACTGCCTCTGCTCCCAACGGAATGCTTCTTGGCAGGGAGGTTCTTCAGTGTTAGTTGCACTGCTGTACTTAGAATTAGGAGGAGCTCACAGAACTCATACATTCACTCTCATTTTATCTGAATCTTCATACTGAAGGCCTATAGCTCAGCAACTCTCCTCCAACCCCACCCTCACACACAAACCTCCATACTAAGGGCAAGGTTGGCAAACTCACTTAAAGTTGCTGAAATAAGCACAGAACACTGAAAAAATGCTTGCAATAGTCAAACTTCCTTGGAAGAAAGCCTGCAAAGCAAGTGAATTTCCCTATTTTCCAGATAAAGCCCCATCCCCATTTTCCTGGGACATAATCACAAGGGGCTTCACATTACCTGGTGGTAAGACCCACTCAAAGAATGAGTAGTAACAAAGCTTGGAAAAACAAATCCATCTTTGGAGGGAAAAGTATCAAGGAATTCATTGCTTTTTGAAAAAATTAATATAGCAATTCACTGGGTGGGATTCTTCCAGGGTCAGTGAGGCACAGACTCTGAATATAAAACCTATCCGGTAAGTGCTAAGTTATAAATATAAACAAGTAATTTATGAGTCATTTTATTCCTTAGGGCTTAGTGATGAACATCCTAGGTTAACCAATTACAAATTTATCTTCCATCCTATCCTTCTCAGTGATCTAAGAAACCTGACTGGACTCACCTCTCATCATTTCTTTACAGAAGAGTCTATGCCTATGTTGTTTAAGAGATGCTATGTTTCTGCTTAGGAAACCAGTGATCACTCCATCATCTCCTCAGACCATGGCACATACTAGCCAGCCAACAAATACTTGATGCATGATACTGTCATCCCCAGTATGAACTGCCATACCGTCAAATTGAGTCTTTAACCGCTGCTAAAGTAATAAAGCTGGCCATATAGTTTAATATCCTAAAGCTTTAAGTCTATGCTATGAAGAAATACTCTATCATTTCCCAAGCAAACACCCTCAGCAGTTAACGGTTTAGGCAGCCCTTTCTTCATCAACCTTGTACCTCTGGAGATCCCGACTTCACAGAGTAAATTCAACAACTCACCTCCACACAGTACTGGGACAAAGCCACCACTGCCAAATGGTTATGGGGGGAGAAGTCACAGTACCGGATGGTGCTGTGATGGCCTGTGTGGATTTCTGCCAACACACCACTGGTACGAAAGTCAAAAAGCTGTCAACATAAAATATAGAGAAAGATCTATGAAAGTAAAATAATTTTTTAAATAAGCGATACCCACACTGAATCTAAGTTTACTTCTAAAAGAATATCCTCCCATTTCAAATATAAAGTATAAACCCTGAAGAAATACTGTAATTACTGATAACTGGCATATTATTAACAGTCATAAGTAAGATATAAATCAATTTACATATACTTTTTAAATACTGCTCATCTTGAAACATGTTTCCTATAGAGGAAAATTTATCACAGATGATCTCTCAAGCTGGCCCGGAGCAGAATAAAACCTCTGTGAAAAGAATGAATGAAGTAGCCAAATTAACATACAGACCAGTTTCCCCTGATGCTTGTTTATTCAAAAAAGAAAATAGATAATCAGAAATGAAGATGACCAAAATCACAGGGCACAGGCTTGCGAAAATGAAATTAGTTCAATCATTTCTAGTTCTCTTCAGAGCTACCAAATTACTCCATTAAGATCAATCATTTTCCCATTTTTGAACCAAAAAAGAGCTATTTCTGAGTAAGTCAAGCTCCATTTCAATTTTTGAAAGATTTTAAAATGCTGAGTATACTCTTCAAAAATTTTTGCCAAATTATAAAAACATTTATACCAATATACACAGTATAGCTATTTAAGACCAAGGCAGTCTTAATGACAGAAAAGAAGCTTCAGCAGGAGCCATGAACATGTTCTGGGAATGCACAGCTCCGTGAGCACACACAGATGGTACGCAGCACAGCACCAGGCGCCAACCACAAAGGACAGGAAATCATACTTAAAATGCTTTCTAGGACAGGTCGTTCTTAAAAATGAGTGGCTGAGAGTGATAGAGGAAACTTGGCAAATATGAAACAGGCAGCTGTCCCAATTATTGGGTAGCAAAAAGAAGATACCTAACGAGAGGAGTAAACTAACAACACAAAAGAGTTAGAAGAAATAAGAGGAGAATGGAGAGACCAGAAGTAAAAAATTGGGATCTACATGTAGTTAAGGGTGATCTTAGGGTAGCTTTATTTTAGCAGGCAAAATAAGGAGCTGGTGTGGATTTTTAAAATAAGAAGGCATTTCATGCCATATATTCTCCTCTCACTACAACATATCTTTGAAAATATTCAAATTCTGCTCAGCACCATTAGTCATTAGGGAAGTGCAAATCAAGCTACAATGAGATCCCACTTCACACCTAACAGGGTGATATAATATAATAAAGAAAAATAACAAATGTTGACAAGGATGTGGAAAAACTGAATTCTTATATATTGCTAGTGGGGATATCAAGTGGTGCAGATGCAACTGGTAGTTCCTCAAAAAGCTAAATACAGAATCACCATATGAGCCAGCCATTCCAGCCCTAGGTACACATGCAAAGGAACTGAAAGCAGGGGCTCAAACAGATACCTGTGCACCAGTGTTCACTGCAACAGTACTCACAATGGCCAGAAGGTGAAAGCAACCCAAATGTCCACCAACAGATCAAAGGGTAAACCAAATGTGGTGTAGCCATATAATGGAATATTATGTAGCCATAAAAGTTCTGATACATGTTCCAATATGGATGAACCCTGAAGAGAGTATCTAAATGAAATGAGCCAGACACAAAATGTCCAATATTTTATGATTCCACTTACATTAAATATCTAGAATAGGCAAATTCATAGATTAGATTAGATGTCACTAGAGGTTCTGGAGAGAAGGGGATGTGGAGTTTTGACTTACTAGTTACAGAGTTTCTGTTTGGGATGACAAAAATCTTTAGCAATAGAGATGACAGTTGTACAACATTGTGAATATAATTAATGCCACTAAATGATACATTTTTAAAAGGTTAAAGTGGCAATTTTACATCTATATATTTTATAACAAAAAATATTTTTAATCTTCAAATCTTGTAAATGCAGAAGTTCCTTTTCTGTTCTTACAGTCTTTCACAAATTTAAGACAAAAAGAGATACTTTCCTTTAGTTTCCTGATAAAGGGATATAAACCTGTAAGCAGCCAAGATCCACAGGTCATAGCTGCTAGATCAATAACAATAGCAAACAGTCCCTCAGTGAGTTTTTATATAACTATATAGTACATTTCAACTGTGTTCTTTAAAATATAATCTCTGGGGTGAGGGGAAAAGGGAGAGGTAGGTAAGAGGATACACTTTCAGTTGTAAGACGATTAAGGTCTGGGGATCTAATGTATAACGTGGTGACTATAGTCAAGAACACTACTGTATAACTGAAATTTGCAAAGAGAATATAACGTAAATGTTCTCATAAAAAAAAGGTAAACATGTGAGATAGCAGTTGTGTTAATTAGGTCTGGGGAATCCTTTCATAATGCATACATAGATCAAATCATCATACTATACACTTTAAATATCTTACAATTTTATTTGTCAATTATACCTCAATAAAGCTAAAAATAAAATTGTAATATTTCTTATTCAAGTCTTTGAAAATTACTATTAGAATGGAATGTCATTGAGCCATAAATCAGAAAACCTGGCTCTTCAAGTCATGATATAACGTTGAACAAATTACTTGGCTGCTCTAAACCTCAGTTGCCTCATTATTATCATAGGGCGAGTGCAGTCTGCTCTGTCCCTTAGGTATTTATAGGAAAAGAAATTACAAATATAAGCTATTAGCTTTGAAAAAGGAGGAAGGCATTTCCTTGTCTTACTTTTTTGTATATCTTCCTCATTTACTTCACAGAAATCTCACAATCACCTGCAGTCACTGGTGAGTATTTCTTGCTTATTAGTCACAAAATCATAAAATTTTAGGGGTAAGAAAACACTTGAAAAGCATCTAAGCCCTGGACGGTGTGGCTCAGTTGGTTGGAGTTTGTCCTATACATCAAAGGGTGGCCAGTTCAATTCTGGGTCAGGGCACATACCTGGGTTATAGGCCAGGTCCGGGTGCTACAGGAAGCAGCCAATCGATGTTTCTCTCTCACATCGATGTTTTTCTCTCTCTCTCCCTTCCTCTCTCTCTAAAAGTCAATAAAAACACATCCTCATCTGAGGATAAAAAGAATTTTTTTTAATCACCTAAACCAATGTACTCAAAATTGTAAAACGACAACAAAAAAGTGATGCAGAAAGTATTCCATGTTCTTAATGAATCTGAGAAACACCAGATTAAACAACATAAACTGTTTCTATATTGTAGGACTTCTTGAGGCCTTAAATAGGTTAGTACACATGGAGTACCTGTAAAGGGAAGCAATAGATAACACTTCCCAAACCTGTATGACCATGGCGGCCTTTTCTCACAAGGCCTATCGACATCCCCTACAGCATAGCTCTGAGAACTATGAAAGGTCACGCAGCCTGCTCCAAATCAGACAGCTACACTTTATTTATATCAGTAAACAGTGTAAAAATACAAAAATCAACAGAAGTTTTAATTTTCTTTAAGTTAGACTAAATTTGGCTTTTTTAAATACTGGTACTTACAAAGATTTTATTTTTTGCTGCCACCATTATCTTAGAGCCATCAGAATACCAGGAACAACACTTCACTATCACTTCCATCTCCTCCTGAGGCTCCTCTGAACTTAGGAAGAACTGCTTCACATTAATGCTGCTCCTCTCATTGGCTGATTTCACAACATCCCAAAGCTTTAAATTTAAAAAAATAAGTTTAAAAATTTAAGTTTTTTTTAAATCTCAAATCACACCTCTAGAATCACACCTGTATTAAATATCCCACAAATTATTCACTTTACCTAATGGTTATTTTTATTTATGTGATACATTTTTATAAAACTTTTAAATTAAAAACTCCAGTTTCACCCAGCAGGTTTTGCTCAGTGGTTGAGCATCAACCTAGGATCCAGGAGATCAAGGTTCGATTCCCAGTCAGGGCACATGCCCAGGTTGTGGGGGCATACAGGAGGCAGCCAATCAATGACTGTCATCANGGGAATCCTTTCATAATGCATACATAGATCAAATCATCATACTATACACTTTAAATATCTTACAATTTTATTTGTCAATTATACCTCAATAAAGCTAAAAATAAAATTGTAATATTTCTTATTCAAGTCTTTGAAAATTACTATTAGAATGGAATGTCATTGAGCCATAAATCAGAAAACCTGGCTCTTCAAGTCATGATATAACGTTGAACAAATTACTTGGCTGCTCTAAACCTCAGTTGCCTCATTATTATCATAGGGCGAGTGCAGTCTGCTCTGTCCCTTAGGTATTTATAGGAAAAGAAATTACAAATATAAGCTATTAGCTTTGAAAAAGGAGGAAGGCATTTCCTTGTCTTACTTTTTTGTATATCTTCCTCATTTACTTCACAGAAATCTCACAATCACCTGCAGTCACTGGTGAGTATTTCTTGCTTATTAGTCACAAAATCATAAAATTTTAGGGGTAAGAAAACACTTGAAAAGCATCTAAGCCCTGGACGGTGTGGCTCAGTTGGTTGGAGTTTGTCCTATACATCAAAGGGTGGCCAGTTCAATTCTGGGTCAGGGCACATACCTGGGTTATAGGCCAGGTCCGGGTGCTACAGGAAGCAGCCAATCGATGTTTCTCTCTCACATCGATGTTTTTCTCTCTCTCTCCCTTCCTCTCTCTCTAAAAGTCAATAAAAACACATCCTCATCTGAGGATAAAAAGAATTTTTTTTAATCACCTAAACCAATGTACTCAAAATTGTAAAACGACAACAAAAAAGTGATGCAGAAAGTATTCCATGTTCTTAATGAATCTGAGAAACACCAGATTAAACAACATAAACTGTTTCTATATTGTAGGACTTCTTGAGGCCTTAAATAGGTTAGTACACATGGAGTACCTGTAAAGGGAAGCAATAGATAACACTTCCCAAACCTGTATGACCATGGCGGCCTTTTCTCACAAGGCCTATCGACATCCCCTACAGCATAGCTCTGAGAACTATGAAAGGTCACGCAGCCTGCTCCAAATCAGACAGCTACACTTTATTTATATCAGTAAACAGTGTAAAAATACAAAAATCAACAGAAGTTTTAATTTTCTTTAAGTTAGACTAAATTTGGCTTTTTTAAATACTGGTACTTACAAAGATTTTATTTTTTGCTGCCACCATTATCTTAGAGCCATCAGAATACCAGGAACAACACTTCACTATCACTTCCATCTCCTCCTGAGGCTCCTCTGAACTTAGGAAGAACTGCTTCACATTAATGCTGCTCCTCTCATTGGCTGATTTCACAACATCCCAAAGCTTTAAATTTAAAAAAATAAGTTTAAAAATTTAAGTTTTTTTTAAATCTCAAATCACACCTCTAGAATCACACCTGTATTAAATATCCCACAAATTATTCACTTTACCTAATGGTTATTTTTATTTATGTGATACATTTTTATAAAACTTTTAAATTAAAAACTCCAGTTTCACCCAGCAGGTTTTGCTCAGTGGTTGAGCATCAACCTAGGATCCAGGAGATCAAGGTTCGATTCCCAGTCAGGGCACATGCCCAGGTTGTGGGGGCATACAGGAGGCAGCCAATCAATGACTGTCATCATTGATGCTTCTGTCTCTCTCTCTCTCCCTTCCTCTCTCTGAAATCAATAAAAACACCTAAAAAAAAAAACTAAAAAAAAAAAACACTCCAGTTTTAATCAGCACATCAGTACATTACTAAAAAGAAAACAATTAGAAGCACTGTCTGAAATACAGAATGCAAAACTAAATAAAATGTTCAAAGAGCCCTGCGTGGTGTGGAGGAGACTGCGTGGACAGGAAGGATGAGCGCAGAAGAAAGGCGAGATGAAAACTTACAACCTGCCACTGCTGCCCTCTGCTGTGCACTTTGCATCTACTGAATGCACAGCAAGCTTGGACACACACAGGACCCAGGCCAAGCCAAGTTATAGCCTAGCAGAGCACCCAGAGACACCACCCTGCAAACGAGAAATTAGAAGATAGTCTATATTCCAAATGCTGAAAGCTCTGCCTAGACATCTTCTCAGATAACCCTACAGAAAAACTCACAATAAAATTCACAATTTCCTCTCAGTTTTTTGGTGCTGCACTCCCAAATACAGGAAATATCCAAGGATCAGGCAAATACAATATATCACTAAATAGAGACAGAAACCAAGACTAACAAAAAGAAAGAACAGCAACTATACAGAAATATGAAAACTTTAAAAAAAACTATTATTAATACCCACAAAAAGATATTGCATCCATGAAACAAGAACAGAATATTAAAAAGGAAACAGATCATAGGATGAGTACTTAAAAAATATGATAGTAGAAATTAAAAACTCAATAGGACTGGAAAATAAAGCTAAGGAAATCTTCCAGAAAGTAGGACAAACATACAGAGAAGGAAAGAGAGGGGAAAATAAGAAAACATCTGAAACGAACATTCACTCCAGAAAGAGAAAGTAGAGAACAGGTCAAATAATTTAGAGGAAATCTTCAAAACTGGAGTTTCCAAACTGAAAGACGCCACCAAGCACCAAGCACAAGAAATGAAGATAAACCCACACGAAGGCACATCATCCTAACATTCTAAAACAGAAAAAATACTGGGGACAAAGAGGTCTTAAAAGCCTAAAGACAAGCAAATGAATCACTTATGAAACAGAGCAGCTTCGAATGTACGAAGAGGAACTCTGGGAGCTAGAGCACAGGGAACAAGGTCTCCAAAATTCTACAGGAACATTATTTCCCGCCTAGAATTCTGTATGCAGTCAGCAACGTCAAATAGGCATGAAGCTAGGACAAAGACACATCTAGACGGGCAAGGCCTCACAACTGGCCTCCGACAGGCTCTCCCTGGGAGAATGGAGGAGCTCTCCGCCAAGCTGAGAGGAAGCTGAGAAAGAAGACAGAGTTCAGCAAAAGAGGAACTCCCAGCGAGACAGGAAAGACAGGCCCCAGACAGCAGCTGGGCACCGGGAGTGGTACCATCAACCAGAAGGGAGCAAGGCAGAACCCTCCACAAAAGGTGCTTCTAAGACAAGGAACTGTTTCAAATACCTGGTAAGTCTGAATGATATAAGAGGTAATTTAGACAAGGGATGGTTTGAAGATGAACCAGTGATAAGCACATAAAAAAAAAATAAGCCCATGAGAAAAACATTCTACTTAAGAATGCTCCCAGTATTTAATAACAGCTAGGAAATTGTATAAAGTAGACTTCTACCCAGAGAGGATTCCTAGACACCCTGAATTTATATAAAAATGAGTTATCCTCAGTCAGCAAAGACAAGAAATCAAAGATTCAGCCAGAGGATCAGCATCAAGAGAGTTTACCTTACTGTGATTAGGAGTCACCTAGTAGCATTAACAAATCTCCTTCTCTAGAGAGTCTAACAAAAATAGTACCCAGGACAGTTCAAGTATTTGCCTGGAAGAGGTATATGCCAAGAAAATGTATTGGGCACATGTTTTGAGTATAACTGTGTTCTATGAACATCAAAGAGATACAACAAGAAGACAGGGTCTCTGCAGGTTATAAGCCTGTATTCAACCTGACCAAAGAAATAGAAGACACATGAAAATGACTGAACAGTAAAAACATTTACAAGTGGAGCTGACAGGCCAAGCAGTTTCTTTCTTCCTATTTATCTATCTATAGACGTAAGTATACAGATAGATATGTATAGATGTAGTCAGAACCAGATGGATGAATGCTGTAAGGGGACACTTTCTGAAGATGGCTTTGCATAAAGATTTAAAGGATAGACAAGTAAACTGGAGGAGAGAAAAAACAGTAGCTGAAACAGCCTCCAAAATTACCTTGCCCAGAAATGACAATTAATGTATGTATTGGATCAAGAAGAAAGAAATTTGATAGGAACAGAGGCAGCAGAATGATGGAAGGTGAAGAGCCTTAGAGTTAACACCTAATGACTGAAACTGGGTTTATCACAATTTATAACACGGCACCTTTGCGTCCCAGCTAAAAGTGGCAAGATGAAAATAGAGGTAGGGTGTACGCTAGCAGCTCTGCACTGGGCTAAGGAGGGATGGAGAGTGCACCTCCGAGAGCTGCCATCAGACATGAGGGGATGACAGCATGAACCACAGCAAACACTACAGAATGGAAGGGGAAAGGTAGGCCAAAAGACAGGGAAGTCAAAGATGGACTGGACTTAAGACCAAAGGAAGAAAGGAGAGTCAATAAACAGACTAGAATAATTGTAGGGAAAAGAAAAATAAAGAAAGTGGGATTAGGATCTTACTGGAGAAGGTGAAGATGTAAGGAGGAAGAATTTAGGTTTTTTAGAACTATAATTTCAGGGGGCTGAAATAAGCTTGTTTCCTTGGCTCTGAGTTTTTCCTCAATATGACTTCATAAAAACAGGAAAATAATAACATAAAACACAAGATAAAAAATGATAAATAAAAGCAGGACCTTTACAGACTTGACCCCATAGATCTCAAAAGACTTTATGGCCCTAGCTGGTTTTGCTCAGTGGTAAGAGCATCTGCCTGCGGACTAAAGGGCCCCGAGTTTGACTGTGACCAAGGGCATGTGCCTGGGTTGCAGGCTCGATCCCCGCGGGAGCAAGAGGCAACCAACTGATGTGTCTCTCTCACATGGATATTTCTCTCTCATGAAACAAAGTATATGCTTAAAAATTAAGAATTCAAATTTATGAACATAAGCATAAGGTAGTAAACCATTTAATGAACAATCATTACGACAAGCAATTAGTTACATTATATAAGCTCCTGGAAGTTGAAGCTCTTTCTGCAGAAATGTGAAAAACAGAAACCTAATTCCAAAACCCAGTCCAAAGGCTGTAAATTACAACCATGTCAATGATGAACAAAAGCATACCTTTAAAGTTCCATCAGCTGAACAACTGGCCAAAAGCTTATCGTCTGGTGAAAATCTGCAGTGATTGACTGAACTGGTATGGCCAAACATGGTATTTCGACACCGTTTTTGATCCAAATCCCAGAGCTATTTGAGAAAGATTTTAAAAATAACTAAAAAAACAGTACTGAATGGGGAGAAGTTAGAAATCATGTGAAGTTCTTTCTTCCTTTTCATTTAAGCTTTTTCAGTTACAGGCAGATGTTCAATTCAAAGTAACACAAAGGGGTGAAACCCAACAGTGAACTCGTGATTAACAAGTAACGGGGCAGCCCTTAGGTCAGCACCTAAATCTACTGAGGAACTCAAAAGGCTTTTAGACTGAGCACTAAGTAACAACAATTACTACTTATTTTAACAAAGTAGTTTGGAGTCATTATTATTTCACTCATTTCTAAAATGATAATATGCAAAATAAATCACCCCAAATTTTTTAGATGCTAGATGATCCAACTCAAAAAAATGGTCATTTCTAAGATTTCCCAAAGCAAAGCTTGAGTGTGCTAATTAAGCTAAAAGCTATTAATGTTCTAAAAAGTGACTCAAAAATACAAAGATAGCAAAGATAGATATAAACATATTTGACAGGAAATATGAAGGGTTAGAAGAACAAATTAAACAACACCTTCAGGAATCGATCAACCAAATCCAGAATGTGGGACATTCCACAGGACAAATGACTCAATTTATCTAACAAATCAACGGCATAAAAAAAGAGGCAGGGGGAAGGGGAACTTTTATAGAATAAACAAGACTTAAGAGGCATAACAACCAAATGCCACCTGAAGTTTAGATTCTGACCCCAATAAGCTCACAGTAGAAAGATATGTTTTGAGTCTAATGGGGCAAAGTATACATGAACCAGGTATATTACAAAATTGTTTATTCTGTTAGGTGTTATTATGCCATGGTACTTATGTTTGCAATCTCAGAGATGCATGCTGAAATATTTTAGGTGAAATGAGATGATATCTAGAATTTGCTAAAAAGACTCTAGTCCAAAAAAATTAAAGTTTGGGGGGGGGGGAAGATTGGCAAAATGTTGATAATTGTTGGAGCTAGACCATGGATAGCAGAGGAGTTCATTACTGTCTCCTCTCCTTCTGGATATGCTTGAAAAGTATTTAAAAATGTAAATAAAAGGGGCAATACTCATCACTGGCGATTTATGCTAGCTAGACCAAACACAAAAGAATAAATCATTTATCCCCCACAACTAATCTTGGTAAAAATCCTTTGAAAATGATCAGTAAGTCAGATGAGTCCTGTTCTTCATGGCTATCTCCATCCTTGGTTCCTTTATCCCAGGACCAGGTAAACCCAGTTCCTCAGAGAAGGCAAGTTATACTAGGGGCAGCTTTAGATTTACATATTTTCATTGGCTTCTCTTAGCTCAAGAATCACAAGAAGCACCCAGCTGGTGTGGCTCGGTGGTTCAGTGTCGACCCATGAACCTGAAGGTCACGGTTCGATTCCCAGTCAGGACACATGCCCAGGGTTGTGGGCTCAACCCTCCAGTAGGGGGTGTGCAGGAGACAGCCCATCAATGATTCTCTCTCATCACTGATGTTTCTATCTCTCTCCCCCTCTCTTTTCCTCTCTCTGAAATAAAAAAAAATTTAATTAAAAAAAAAAAAGAATCATAATAAGTGAATTCTAATACCCCTCATGGTAATGCAGGTGTGGTATGACAGGTCTTACAGTAAAATTTGCCCTTAATTAAACCTGTTGAATAAACAATAACCCCTTCCCACTTCTTAGAGATTTCTGTCTACATTTGAAAGGCGGAAATATAAACTTCCTCCCCCTACCAAATGTTAAAAGTAACATCAAAATTAGTCATATATACTACAAGTCTTGTAGTTTTAGAAGTGGGTTCATTCAAACATGGCAAAGTTTTTCTGAAATAGTACAACAGTTTTATTTTTAAAGGCAGTTTACTCAATAGGGTAAGCTTTACTGAGTAAAAGTGATCTCTAATTGTGAGATAATTTTATGTTACTGCATTATTCTGATCTAATCTAGTGTTTTCCAATTGTGTTCTGCAGGACCCAGGGATTCCAGAAACATGCTTTAAAAAGGCACTAT